TTTCAGGGTAAGCCTTTCCAATGCAGTGCATAATTACTAGGACACATAAACCTAAGACATTAATTTATGAACATGAGAACTCATAACATTAAATTTAGTTCTCATTTCCTTCTGTGGTCCCTAGGGACAAAAAAGAACATCCTGTCCTTTTAATCATTTGGGTTAAATCTTAGTCATTTGTTGACCTTCCTCCTTTCCCTACTTTTAGACAGACCAACAACTCTTTAAGACTCTAAGAAATTAATAACTTGTGTCTTATGATCACTATGCCCTGCATAAGACAAGTTTCTCACAATCTCATTCACAGTGATTGTCAAAATAAAATAACAACAGATAGGATGCTGAACAAAGCCAACAGCATTTTGAGTGTGAACCACACCCAGGGAGAGATAACAACCATGTTATAGTTTAACAGAAGTAATAAAAATGAAATCTAATCACTTGCAGATTACATGTAGTGTAAAGAGAGATCAAATGTGAAAACCAGTTAATTTTTTATTTTATATATTTTTTTAAAGAGAGAGAGAGAGAGAGAGAGAGAGAGAGAGAATTTTAATATTTATTTTTTAGTTTTCGGCAGACACAACATCTTTTGTTTTGTATGTGGTGCTGAGGATCGAGCCAGGGCCGCACGCATGCCAGGCGAGCGCGCTACTGCTTGAGCCACATCCCCAGCCCTTATTTTATATTTTTAATAGTCATTGCTATTAGTGAAAGCTAAACATAACATATCTGAATATAAAACCATATTGATTCTGCATGGCAAATTATTTTCATTTCAAATACAGGAAGTGGAAGGATCACCATTTTAATCTTTTTTTTTAATTAAAAATTGGTTCTTATTAGTCATACATGACAGTAAAATGTATTTTGACATAGTATATATATGTAGAGTATAACTTCCCATTATTCTGGTTGTTCATGATGTGGACATTCTTATCTTTAAAATATGTAATAGTGTCACTTACCATGTGCCAGGTACTATTCTAAGTACATCATTTCATTATTTTATTTAGTCCTTACAACTCCACCAGGTATTAGCCTATTATACTTATTTGGAAACTGGAACAGAGATACTCCGAATTTAAGTAATTTGCACAAGATCAAAGATCTGGTAAATGGCAGAGGTTGGATTTTGAATCTTACCACCAGAATGGATCTCAATCCCTTCTCTTTCCATCTTCCAACATGGTTTGGCCTTTCAGTGAGAAAATACTTGATCTTTTCCTCTACCTGTAGTTGAGGCCCTTTGACCCTTTGAACATTTAAAAAGACACATAAAAAGCTACCTGAGCCAGGTAGTCTAAATAAATAGGTTTCCTGGGAGTCAAATTACTTGCATGTTAATTGTTAACTCAATGGTAAGCCTTTCTAGCAGCCTTTACAGCAATTTGCTTTCCCAGGTTTTACATTAAGTTCAATAGTAAGAATTTAGGTATCTAATCAAAGTCAAATACACGATCAAGGCCCACAATTTTCAAATTCACTTTCTATCTCGTTACAGAGAATTTGGGATGAGGGGGATGGGGGAACAGTGTCTCTCAGAGTGGTGGGTTCTTTTCATGATGGGTGGTTTCATTTCTCTGCCAGGGACTTGTATCGTGGAGTCTGGGTGGCACACACAGCAAATAGCCTATTCTCAAACAGGAGAGGCTCTTCAACCACGGGGGGTGTTTTCTGAGCCAATCTCCCTAGGGTCTGGCCAAGATGCAACTGCCTCAGCCCAGAAGGTGTGGTTTCTTAAAGACCTTCCTAGTCTTCTTTATTTTTCTCACCAAATGGGATGATAAAATCAGCACAACCCTGCTTGCTCTTCAAAAGTTGGCCAGAATTTTCACAGGATGGCCCTGTGGTTGGGTTTGACTTTTGTGTTTTCCGGGAATATTCGAGCCCTGCTTCTCCTAGGATATTGCTTTTTTTTTTTTTTTTTTTAAATGTATAGGTATATCATCAAGATTTTTGTACAGTACTGGATTCAGAGTCTAAAATATTACCAAGAAGTAGGAGGATACAGGGTGACTAGGCTGCCTCTGTGCCTTTGTTCTTGGAAGAGATTGGAGGAGAACAGTGTGACACCCTGCCCCTGATCACATACATTCATTGTAGATATCAAGTGGAACCTAGGTTAGCCAGTCACAAACAAATTGGTAAAGGGATCCAACGCTATGTAGATAAGATGCGAGAAAGTCTGCAAACTTGAAAGTAGGCGTTTTCTAGTAGGCCAGTAAAAGAATTACCAGATTCTGCACTAGTTAGCTGGGGGATTTGAGCAAGTCTCTCACTTGTTGTTTCCCTATCTGTAAACTGGGTGTGGGAGTCCAAGAGAGTTGGAAGAAGACTTAGAAGTCATTTGATCCAGTGTTTGATCCACTTTTGGAATTTCACCTACAAAATCCCCAACAAATGACCTGTCCCCAGACCTCCCATGAAAGGGCACTCATCTCCTTATGTTCCTCATGCTGAGCCAAGTTCTGCATCTTGGCACCTCCATTCCTTAGTCTTGATTCTCACCGAGAAGTTTTGAACTGGCAACTTGGATGGCAGGAGAAACAATGCAGTTCAGTGGAAAGAMAATCAGGTGAATCTGAGTCTGGGCCCCAACTTAAGTACTTTGCTGGCTGTAAAATCTTGACCAAAGGGCATCAGTTCTATGAGACTGAGTTTCCTTATCTGTCTGATGGAGACATTGCAAACAATGCAGGACATTTGTTGAAAGGATTAAAACAATTTCTAAAACTCACATTTGCTTATAAAATTATTGAGGATCATTTTCTTAGACTATAATAAAAAAATCAGTATTTATTGAGGCCTGAGGAGTTTAGGGCATTATTTCAGATTTTTGTTTCAATGGTTTGTCCTTCAATGTTCTTAACTTTTGCCTTGTTCCAGTCTTCAGTGAAGTCACTTCCTATACATTTCCATGCAGTTCCCTTTCTTATCAATCCACATATTCTTTTGTTCATACAATTAGAAAAGGAGAAGGAAGCTTAAACATGGACTTAATAAAGTTGTAGGTGTGTGTATGCTGACCAGGGGGAAAAATGTATCAATGGAAATGGAGTTTATTCTCTTACTTGAAGCATAAAAGGCTTCTGAATTTTGCTKCAAATAAATATTTATTACTTCTGAAATAAATAATTACTTCTGAAATAAAAGATAGTTTGAAGTGTACGCTAGAGGAGAGATTATGGCAATACATAAAACATGTTAACTTTGTTGTGAAGGAAGCCTGTGAATTGAGGAGTGAGATAATTCAGAGCCATGGATCTCAAAGTCAGTTGAAACCTCATGGAAAATTTCCTTAGGGATAGAAGCTTAAAAAGTCTCCTCTTGAGTTTGTTGATAACTATAAAAAAGTCAAAACATGGGACTCTTGGGCCAAGCACATCTATGAAAATGAAGTTACCCCATAGAAATCCACATGTGGACTGTGGATATAGCTCAGTGGTATATCACCTGCCTAGAAGTCTGTGTATGAGCATTCACACAAGGTGATCCTCCTTATTCATTGCCGTGTGGTTTCCAATAGTAAACAGAAGAAATAATCTGTGGCTTTCGGTAGGAGAATAGTCAAAATAAGATAAGGAACCCATAAAATGGGATACTCTGCATTCTTAATGAAACATGAGGTGACCTGGCATGATGTCCTTGACTCACTGTTAAAGGAAAAAGTCTACTGCAAAGCAATATGTGAACAGTAATGCTATATTCGTATATATGAAAGTGTATACACACATACCCTTGTGTGTACATATTTATGTGTTTATACAGTTATAAATATATGATATATATATATATATATATATATATATATATATATATATTCAGAAAAAAGTTAGAACTCTATATGTGAAGCAATGTTGATAGTAATTAATTCCAAGGAGTGGACTCAGGAGCACAAAAGAGGTTTTCATTTTTTACTTTTAGTGCTCATATATTTGAAGCTTTTACATGTAGAAACATTATTTGTCTAATTTTTTCTTTTGGGGTACTGGGTATTGAACCCAAGGATGCCTTACTGAGTTATATCTCTAGCCCTTTTTTGTTGTTGTTGTTTTGAAATAGGGTCTTGTTAAGTTGCATAGGGCCTCACTGAGTTGCTGAGGCTGACCTCAAACTTGCAATYCTCCTGCCTCAGGCTCCTGAGTTACTGGGATTACAGGTGTGTGTCACTAGGACCAGCTACTTGTGTGATTTTGAAAACAGTAAAATAAGAATAGATAAGTTTAGGGGGCTGGGGCTATAGCTCAGTGGCTGAGCGCTCGCCTCACATGTGTGAGGCACTGGGTTCAATCCTCAGCACCAGATACAAAAATAAATAAATAAAACAAAGATATTGTGTCCATCTACAACTTAAAATTTTTTTWWAAAAAAAGAATAGATAAGTTTAGAAATATGTCTAAGCACCTGGTTAAGTTTTCCTAAATTTTAGGAGTCCTTATATGAAGAACACCTTTTTCAGAAAAATGAATAAACTTAATCTCTTTCCTTTGGACCAAAAGAGCTTCAGAATCAAAAGACCAACTGGTTTATTTCCCTGTAAAGACATCCACCTATTCAAGCCCTGGGAACAAGAGAAGATTCTAGAATCCCAGGGTTCCTTTATTCCTCTCCACTGTTTCCTCAAGATCTTACATGGGACAATATGTCACAAACTGGAGTGTGACCCTTAAGAGTGTTTTCCTAGAAAGGAGGGGAGATTTGGTGATCAGATAATTTTCCATAAGCTATATGATGTGTGCTAAGAACTGGTTTCTGTGATAAGAAAGAAGTCTCCATGACTCAGGAGTATCTACTTGAGCTTGGTACTGTAGGCATTCTGACTTCATTTACTGGAAGACAGTTCAGTTGATTACAGCCAGTGTTAAGAAGCACTGGAGTTTGAGTTTTTCAAGGGGCCGAGTTTTTTYGTATAAAGAAATATCCTTGTTCCAGCTCTTTCAGGCTCCTTGGATCTGTTTCTATCCACTCCAGCAGCTGCTTGTCGGACCCCCAACAGGCAAAATGGTGAAACAGATCGACAGCAAGGAAGTGTTTCAGGAAGCCTTGGAGGCTGCAGGAGATAAACTTGTGGTAGTTGACTTCTCGGCCAACTGGTGCGGCCCTTGCAAAATGATCAAGCCTTTCCTTCATTCTCTCTCTGAAAAATATTCCAATGCATTGTTCCTGGAAGTAGATGTGGATGCCTGTCAGGATGTTGCTGTGGAGTGTGAAGTCAAATGCATGCCCACCTTCCAGTTTTTTAAAAAAGGCCAAAAGGTGGGTGAATTTTCTGGGACTAACAAAGAAAAGCTTAAAGCCACCATTAATGAATTTCTCTAATMGTGTTTTCTGAAAAACATAACCACCCATCAGCTGTTTAAAGCTTGCAATTTCTAAAAATTTAAGGAAAATATGAAGTATGGAAACTATGTACCCAGCTGCAATCTGAGTATAAATGACAATAAAATATTAATTCTACCCTTTTAAAAACTGTTCTTCAGCAACCACACTGTATCACTATTGCCAGCCAATTGCTTTTTGAAATTGTTCTACYAGTTGTAAAGATTAGTGGAATAAAGGATGTACATGGTTAAATTCATTCATTTATGCATTAATCTCTTCATTCACTTGTCAATGGTAAAATATAAAAGTTAGCAGTCAGTTGAGGGTTTAGGGGTCAGAAATATTTGAGTTGGGGCTGGGATTGTGGCTCAGTGGTAGAGCACTCGCCTAGCACATGCGAGGCCCCAGGTTCGACCCTTGGCACCACATAAAAATGAATAAAATAAAGGTATTGTGTGCAACTACACTAAAAAAATATTTAAAAAATTATATGCCTATCCAAGTTTCTGATTTCCTCATCAATTACATAAGGCAGTAATCAAGAGGTTTTTGTGAAGATTTAAGAACATTTCAAGTGCTTAGCATAATACCTGGCATGTACTACAAGCTCAATAAAAGTTAAGAAGTGTCATTCATGAGTTTGTCATTCAAAATTATATATTGAACATCTACTGTGTGCCAAGTTTTTGCCAGATTCTGAATTTTTAATATGGTTGGCATATGAATGTTGCTTTTAAAGGGGTTCAGTCTAGATCAGAGATTCTTAATAGAATTAAGGGGCTTTCTGGACTTGGATGAGGGGAAATCACATCTCTATTTTTCACTAACCTTTAATGAAACTTATGATTTTCTTCAATTATGAATATATTCAAAAATCATAGAAATAATCACATTAGATATGACTTTGTCATCAACAGAAAATACAGACATTTTCATAGCATGCTATATAATTCAGGAGAAATTTTGAAATTTTGTTCATGTATATATATCATTACTTTGAAATTATAATAGTTATTAGATCCACTGCTGAATCTAGGAATTGTGTTAATAAAGAAGTACATGTGAAACTATATCTCAAATTTTGGTTTTCATTTCAAAAACTGTAATTATTTCTTTTGTGCTCCCGTGTGTCTTATTTTAGGTACTGGAACATAGATTCAATGTTCTGAAACAAGTACATACATATATTGTATATGTGAGGATGTTCAGAACAGCACTATTAATTAAATACAAAACTGAAAACAAATTAAATGTCCATCAATAGAAGAATGAATAGATAGGCACAGTGGTACATGCCTGTAATCCCAACACTTGGGAATCGAGCCTCCAAAACTTAGCAAAGCCCTGAGCAAATCAGCCAGAGCCTGTCTCTAAATAAAATACAAAAAAAAAAAAAAAAGGTGGGGATGTGGCTCAGTGGTTAAGGGCTGCTAGATTTTAAAAAAATGAATAAATATTGATTCAATTAAATACCACCTAGAGATGAGAATGAATTAATAATTGTTATATCCAGAAACATGGATGCATCTCAACCCTTAGGTTGAACAAAGAAACCAGACACAAAAGGGAACATACTATATGGTATAATTTATATAAATTTGAAAAGCATACAAAYTAATCTTTAGGTTAGAGGTCAAGATAGTTTACTCTTTATGGGGTGAGATTGAGGCCTTTAGGATAAGTATTTATTGTTCCAGATGCTAGAAATATGAATGTATTCAATTTGCTCAAGTTCATTGAATTGAACATATGTAATTTATGCATTTAGAGTCCTACTTCAGTAAAAATTTACTTTAAATGGGGGTCCCTATGCTTGCCAAGTTTGCCAAAGGGGTTCATAGTTCAAAAATGAAGAACCTCAGGTCTAATTGGAGAGACAAATCCAGAGAAATTACTTTATAGCAATACTATGTGTTATAAACAGCCTGGATTTTTCCAGGCCACCCTGACCATGTGTTCTGTTTTCTTTCTTTCTTTTTTTTATTAACATAGGAGGTATGTTCTCAGCAGCTATAGAAAAAAAGAAATTACAAAGTATTGTGGAAGTACAGATAAGGGAACCATTAAACTTGCTGGAGGTTGATCAGGAAGAAATCTCCTGGAGGAGGTGATATTTAGTGGGGGCCCCAGAGGATAAGTCAGCTTTCAGCAGAAGGGCTTGCTGTTTAGCAAGCATCAGGAAAAAAAAATAAGTGTGCCATGTTTGGAGAACATCGAGCTGTCTGGTGTGACTAGTTCACAGGGCCAATGACTGATGGAAGGACAAGTGAGAGTCACATGAGTGACTATGTATTGTGCTAAGGTGAAGCAACAAGTGTTGTTTGTTTATTCCTTTGTTTTAATGTTTTATTGAAGGAATAGACAGAAAAGATTGCTTCAAACAAGCTAGAYGGATTTTCACAAATGGAACACATTTATTTTCTTAGCACCCAGATTAAGAAATAGGACATTAACAACCTATCAGAAGCTCATTTATGCTTCCTCCCAATCACTACTACTCCCCACCCCTGCCAAACTTAACCACCATCTTGACTTCTAACATCATTGATTGGTTTTGCTGGGTTTTGCGCTTTATTTAATGTGCATACTTTTTTGTTTCTGACTTCTTTCAGGCATGCATATAAGTGAAACATGATGTTGTTGCGTATGGTTATGGATCGTTGCCATCTAAATCTTAAGGAGGGGAGTGGCATGGGCTGATCCCTGTGTTAGGAAAACTACTCTTGCAGACTCATTGGGGGTGGAGTGGAAAAACAAGATCCATCAAGGGAGTCAGCGACATAATCTAAGCAATGGAAGATAAGGACCTAACCCACAGCCCAGGCAATGGAGATGGGGAAGAGGTGGACAGATCAGAGCTCTGGAGAAGCAATTCAAAACATATGTTCCATTTACAGACTCCTTCAAACACAGAGGGGAACACTAAACTGAGTGCTCAAAACTCCAGCTACTTTAATTGACCACAGCATTAGTTTGGGCACTTTTCAAGATTTAAATAAAACAAGCCAAATCCCTCCAAGAGTCTGCTAACATAGATGACAGGGAACAAACAGACCAAGAAACCAGCATAATGTCTATGAACGAAGGGTGTCCCCTGAGACTTAATGACCTCAAATATTATTGGAAAAGTTTTGCAGTTATTTTTCCTAAATATTTTTTGCATAGTGGTATTTCAGTCTAAAATTTAGATTAGTTAGGAAAACATAACTATGATTGAGGAGACCAGAGGGGTTGGGATTTTAGCAGAAGTTGGGAGGGAAGTGTGTAGGACAGACAGATGGAAGCAGGCAGTGAGAGCTCATTGAACGTTTATCTAAATTGCGTGTTTCCCAAACTCTAGTACACACCTCTCTGAAAGTATGCCAGGAGGAACTTGAGCCACCTGATAAATATGGTACATTTTGTTGGAGTATCACTTTACCTCAACCTTAGAAAGATGCCATTTATATGGAAGAGAACAATATGTCATAGAGTAGAACACAAATTTGATGTGAAGTTTCAAGATAAAATATGAGACTTCGAGTATCTTTCTAGCCAAATGCTTTGGTATTCGTTCCAATAACTTCCTCCCATTAGATGAAATGCAAAGGAAAAGTTTTGTGAATCATCATATCCATTGCTCCTTACCCAA